AGCCCCGCCAGCAGGTCGGAGCCGGGGTCCGGAGTGGCTGCCCGGCTGAGCCCGGAAAACGCAGTGAAGTCCCTTTTAGGGATTGGGAAAAGTTTCAAAAGTCGTCTTGCCGAAAGCGAGTTTTTACTTTCCTCGGGCCACGCCCCCTCCCGGAACTTTGGACCAATCATGTGGCAGCTGTGCGGAGGACGGCCCAATCAGGGCGAGAGGCTCCGGAATCCGTCGGCTCTAAGACCCAAGCGCTCGCCGCCAGGTTCCCCCCCCCCCGCAACACAATCTTAAGTTGAAGACTTTTAAAACTAAGCTACATCTTATTAAAATTTATTTTATTATTACATTTTGGCTAATGAGACCACGTGTCTAGAACAAAACATAGAATCCTGTTTCTTTGCAAAATAAAAAAAGACGTTTGGTTTGAAATATAAAATCGAGTTGCTGAAGGCGGTCTTCCCCTAAGACCGTGTAAGTAGCCGAGTGAGTCCTAAAGGCTTTTCTTATTAATGAGTGGTGAGGCGAATAATTAGATTTCCTAATTATCGGGACCCCGTTGTAATCGGTCCAGGAGCGAGCAGGCCTCCTGAACGCATCCGCAGGGCGCCTGGAGGTGGGGGGCGGCGGAGAATAACCCACAAAGGGGCCGGGGTAGAATTCGGATTCCCTCGCCCCTACCCCTGGGTCGGGCTGGGAGAGCTGAGCCCGGGAAGGCAGCCACCTCCGGAGAAACTGAGGTGCCCAGAGCTGGGCCAGCGACCCTCCGGCCAGCTTCGTGGGCCCCAGGGCAGCGTGCGAACCCACCGCCCCAGGTCCCTTCTCCCGTCCCGCCTAAACCCGGGCAACCCACCCGTGCCACCCACCCGCAGCGGCTCTTCCTTCTCTGGGTCATGAACTCGCTTTGGCGAGCCGGCTCACGCGCTCCTCAAAGGCCCCAGCAACGTGGCCAGCCCCCGGGTGCAGGCCGAGCCCTGGTCCCTGAGCCGAGTGGGGAGCCCCGGGCCTGCTTTCCGCTGGGACACCCGAGGATACACACCGAGTCCGTGCGCCTGGGCCTGGACCCGCCGGCTTCGCTCGCCCTGCGCCCGGCTCCCACCTCCGCGGCTCACCCCGCATCCCCGGGACCCTGCAAGTTCACTTGTTTTTTTCAGTCTTTGTTGTTTTGTTTTGCTGAGTTTGGGTGAGGAAACTGAGGGCCAGGGTTCTCCGACAAGCAAGTGCCGACCCTTCCCCGGCTGAGCCTTTCCAGCCTTGACACTGCGGAGGCCCCTCGCCGACTTTCAAGGCTTGCCCCTTCCCTCTAGGAACACCACCGATCGTTTGTTTATTTGTGGACCGATTATTTATTCCTTCAACACCTCCAGTCCCACTTGCCCACTTCCCCCAGAAACTTTGGGACACCGTTCGGAAAGTCCACACGCCCCGAAAACCCTCCGGGAAGTTGTTTGTCCGGTTGGGTCGGGGGGGATGAGGACAACAGATAACTTTCTCTCTCTCTCTCTCTCTCTCTCTCTCTCTCTCTCTCTCTCTCTCTCTCTCCTTAGATTCCTCAGCAAAAGGGTGCGGAGGATAGAGTCCCCTTTTTTATTTTATTTTATTTTATTTTATTTTTTTAGCTTTGCCTGC